GAGAGATGGGGTTTCACCGTGTTGACCAGGATGGTCTCGATCTCCTGACCGCGTGATCCTGCCTGCCTTGGCCTCCCAAAGTGCTGGGATTACAGGCGTGAGCCACCGTGCCTGGCCTTTTTTGTTTGTTTGTTTTTTGGAGTCTCCCTCTGTTGCCTAGGCTGGAATGCAGTGGCATGATCCCGGCTCACTGCAATCTCCACCTCCTGGGTTCAAGTGATTCTCGTTCCTCAGCCACATACACAGCTAGAATTACAGTCTTGTGCCACCAAGCCCAGCTAATTGTTTTTCTGTATTTTTAGTAGAGACGAGGTTTCACCATGTTGGCCAGGCTGGTCTCGAACACCTGACCTCAAGTGATCTGCCTGCCTGGACAGCCCAAAGTCCTGGGATTACAGGCATGAGCCACTGGACCCAGCCAATAAAGTCTCTTATATCATGTAAGGTAAATATTCACAGGTTCTAAGCCTTAGGATTAGGATAAGGACATCTTTGAGTGATTATTTTTCAGCCTATCGCACCCTGGTAGTTATTCATGTGGTCTCCAGAACCAGAATGCCTCAGTGCAGGCCTTGGCTTTGTCATTCATTTGCTAACTCACTCATTCACTAATTCACTCATTAACTACAACATAAAGAGGGTAAATAACTTACCTAGGCCTAATCCTAGGATCCTAGCATTTATCATGGTGGGTCATAACTTATCCACGCTTAATCCTAGGGTCTCAACCTCTTTATGCCCTAGTTAACTTATTTGTAAAATACGGAACTAGGATAATTCACCTAATTTGTTTTGATTATTGATTGCTGTATGACATATCACGCCAGATTTCAGTAGCTAAAACTGATTTTTAACTGTTTCATGAGTCTGGGGGTTGGTGGGGCTCAGCTGGGCATTTCTTCTGCTCTTTGTGGTGCTGGCTGAGTTCCCTCCCACAGCTGCATTCATGCGGAAACTCAGCTGAGGTTGGAACATCCAAGATGGCCCCACTGACACATTTGTCAGTGGCCGCAGGCTGCAGTCTGGAAAACCTTGACTCTGCTTCAGGCTGCCTCTCACCCTGCAGGGGTTCTCTGTCTCCACTGCCTTCTCCAGCTGAAGAGTTCAGACTTGTTACATGGTAGCTGGCCTCCAAGGAGGTGATTATGGAAGCTGGGAGCTCTTTTATGACCTAAGCCCAGAAAGTGTCTCTTCTGTTGCATTCTGTTGGTCAAAAGATGACATGGCCAGCCCAGATTCAAAGGGAGGGGAAATAGACTCCACCTCTTATGCAAAATTATATACCACAAGTCTCGTGGGTTGCACCTGCTATGGCAATTGTAAGAATTCCATGAGTTAAAACCTGTAAAAGGACTTAGAACAGTGCCAGTTTCCTAGTAAATACTCAATACTTTTTAAAAAGCTCAGGCTTGGCCAGGCACTGTGGCTCACATCTGTAATCTCAGCGCTTTGAGAGGCTGAGGTGGGCAGATCACCTGAGGTCTGGAGTTCGAGGCCAGTCTGACCAACCTCTAGTGAAAACCCATCTCTACTAAAAAATACAAAAATTAGCTGGGCATGGTGGCACATGCCTGCAGTCCCAGCTACTCAGGAAGCTGAGGAAGGGGAATTGCTTGAACCCCAGAGGTGGAGGTTGTAGAGAGCCGAGATTGTGCCATTGCACTCCAGCCTGGCGACAGGGCGAGATTCCATCTCAAAACAAAAAAAGCTCAGGCGCTAGTGCTTGGCTGCCTAGCTTCAAAACCCAGGTCCACAGCTTATGGTTTTGTGACCTTTGGCAAATTACTTAACGGCTTCAAGTCTCAGGGTCATCATCTGTACATGAGATTAGTGGCAAAATGTACTTTGAGGGTTGCTGCAAGGCTGAGGTGTAATGATGTATGCAGACCTGTAGCACAGGTGCCGTCATACAGTTAGTCCTCAATAAGCCTTACGCTCTTGATGCAGGTACAGGGCCAGGCACTTTCTCATATATTCTTTGATTTAAGCATATTGTTAACCCCTAGTGGTAGAGATAGATACACATTTATCTATGAAGAAATGGAGGCCCCAAGTCTTTAGAAATTTGGGGAAGGAAGTAGCGTATGCTTAGGACTGGGTCCTAGGGTTGTGTACTCCTTCCACCTTACTACTGATTTCAAGCTTTTTTTCATTTGTTTGTTTGTTTGTTTTGGAGAGAACAACCTCCTACCCCGACCCATCTTTTTCAAACAAATCTACTGTGTAAAACGAAGAAGATGGTATTTTATTAGCGCATATTATGAAGGCTCAAATTTTAGCTTTTTACTTATTAGAAAAAAAGTCAATTAACACGCATATTTATCATGATGGTAACCTCTAATGCGTTAAAATTCAGTTCCTAACAACATTTCTATGAACATGTGATCTCTTATTTAAGGTTTCAAAAAGTATATGTATATAAAAGTTCAGGCCAGGTGTGTGGCCCACACCTGTAATCTCAGCTTTTGGGGAGGCCTAGGTGGGAGGATGGCTTGAGCTATGATCAGGTGAGCTCTGATCACACCACTGCACTCCAGCTGGGTGACAGAGCCAGACCCAGACCCTGTCTCTAAAGCAGATAAAAAAACAAATTCTGTGAACCCTTCAGATACTTCTGAGGAATTTTAAATTTCCGTGGATTCCAGATTGGAGACCCCTTCATCAGACCACATCCTTCCACATGGGGGTGAAGGAGATGGATCATCTGGGTTCTGAGCAATGGAGGTCTTCACCTGGCTAAGGACTTTGGAGTCTTTTTGTAAGCAATGGGGTATCATTTAATGTCTGTTTTATCCATTATCCGTTGGACTTTTGAGGACTGTGATCAAGAAGAATAAAGGCAGAGAAAAAATACGAATGGCCAATATTTATTAAATGCTGGCTGTGTACCAGGTACCTTGTTCTTTCCTTATTTGATCTCATTGAGTTACAGGAAGGCACTGTTATCATTCCCATTTGACAGATGATGAAACTGAGGCTTAGGCAGAATAAGTAGCTTATCAAGCTAGTAAATAATAAAGGTGGATTGTAAGTCAGTGAGAAGTCATTGGATTTTTTTTTTTTTTTTGAGACTGGGTCTCACTAAGTTGCCCAGGCTGGAGTAAAACGGCTATTCACAGGCACAGTCATTGTGCACTACCGCCTCAAACTTCTGGGTTCAAGTGATCCTTCTGCCGCAGCCTCCTATGTAGCTGGACTACAGATGCACACCACCACACCCAGTTAATTTTTAAAATTTTTCATAGAAACAAGATCTTGTTATGTTGGCCAGGCTGGTCTTGAACTCCTGGCCTCAAGTGATCCTCCTGTCTTGGCCTCCCAAAGTGTTGTGATTACAGATTTGAGCCACCATGCCTGCCTGGAAACTTTTTTTTTTTCGAGATGAAGTCTTGCTCTGTCACCCAGGCTGGAGTGCTGTGGTGTGATCTCAGCTTACTGCAACCTCTGCCTCCCACATTCAAGCAATTTTCCTGCCTCAGGAGGGCAGGAGATTAGCTGGGATTACAGGCGCCCGCCACCACACCTGGCTAATTTTTGTATTCTTAATAGAGATGGAGTTTCACCATGTTGGCCAGGCTGGTCATGAACTCTTGACCTTGTGATCCGCCTGCTGCAGCCTCCCAAAGTGCCGGGATTACAGTCATGAGTCACTGCACCCAGCTGGAATTTTTTTTTAGGAGGAGGCTACTGGTGACATGGTGAGTGGGAGCAGAGGGCTTAGGAAAGGAAGAGGTGGTGGGAGGTGGAGCCCACAGGTGTATATCTGGGAATGGTTGACAGCAAGGGGAAGAGAAATTAGGACAGAGGTCCAGAGGGTAAGGACATAGAAGGAAGGCTCAGAGGGGAGAGGGAAAGATGGGGAATGCAGGAGGAAGAGGAGGGTCACTGAAGGAGCATGTGAATGGAGCATTGCTTCTCCCTGTGTTCCTGCTTTTCCTGGATTCCCAAGGGTATTGACCCCAAGAAAGCCACAGGTGGAGATTCTCCCTGTACCAGGGCTTCTATAGGAATAGGAAGAGATGGTGCCACACATTTGAAGGCAATGACCAGTATGGGGCAGTTTCCCTTCCTTTTCACACATTCTATGCTCCAGACAAACTGGGCTGCTCTTTTTCTAAACATGCCTGGCACCACAGTGTAGAGGAGAGGGCATGGGTTTTAGAGGCAACCGGGTCCAGGATTGAAGCCAGACTTCTGCTTACTAACTGTGATGTTGGGTAAGTCATTTCACTTCCCTGAACTTCAGTTTCTCATCTATATACATGGAGATTATAACACCTATCTCTAAACTTGTTGGGAAGGGTTAATGAGATAATATGGATGAAGGCTGCCAGCATATTCTTGGTACAGAGTAGATGCTCCTGAAATACTGGAATCCTCCTTCTCTGCACCTCTGTTCACCCACCTCTCTCCTCTGGCCAAGCTGCTCCTCCTGGATCCACCTGTTGAAGCTCTGCCCAACACCTGCCCAACTCCAGTGGCACTTCTCCCATCAGTCCTGACTCTGACACTGGCAGAGATCTGTCCCTTCCTGGCACACTGGAACACTCTGTATTACTCACAAACAACTTAACGCACACTTATTGCTTTGTATTACAAGTATTTGTTTTTGGCTTTAACAAGCCTATAATAGATATTTACAGAAAGAAGCAGAGGATGTATTGGCTTGAGCTTTGGGAGAAAGCGCAGAACCAGTTTTGCATCCCTGTTCTTTTGCAGGATCTGGAAGGCCTCTGGCAGAAGCTTGGGGGGACGGGCAATGACATTTAATTGGCTTTTAGTGGGGAGCAGGCAGATCACTGATGTCCTTGATCAGCTGATCTGGCGGTGGAGTTGCAGGGGTGCAGTGTCGGTATCAGTGAAACTTTTTTTTTTTACTATTACAAAAGTTTATTTAACAGAAAGTCTAATATGAAAATGTACATGACCTAATTTTTACATCAGAGTAAAACAGGCCCTATGGAGAGAGGACATGGGTTTCTCTGCTGAACAGCCATTATTTATACTCGTTCCAAGGCTCCTAACATGATATTACTATTTCCTCGTATTACCACCATTCCAATATTGTTCTGTTGCGCACTAGTCGTCGTCTCCACACATTCATCTGTCACAAGATTCATAAAGGGATCAAATCCCTGCAATGTTCCTTGGACATGTCTGCCATCATTTAATTTCAATAACTTCTTGTCCACAAATTTTTTCAACTTGGGAAGGTGAGCTTTGCTCATGGTGGATATGCCACGGCCTCACAGATGCCTTGGAATGGAACACACCTCAGTGAAACTTTTAAGTGTGGGAGAATCAATGACAACTTCAGCTGAAATGAGGGTTCAGAAAGGCTCCATTTTGGGGATGGGGTTACCATGGAAAGTCTGTGTACTTAGAAATTAACCAGAGTTTGATACTGAATTGAGTGAAAGTTGAGAGCAGATTAAGGACTGGTTGAACCTAGGACTGGAGAGACACCACTTCTCCTTCTAGGGGAGAATCTGGAATCTCATCTAGGGCTGAAGGCCATGTCCACTAGCCTCCCTGGGTTGGGAGTAGAGGGATAAAATATCTGGGACAATGGAAGAAAAGGAAGATAGCCAGTGTGGCTGGGTCTTGGAGAAGTGACATCTGATTTCCCCACCCTTCCTCCTTCACATTCTCCTGGGCCTCCTGGACCATCACCCACCATAGCCCAGACTCCCCAGTCCTTTCTCCTCCTAGGAAGGCATCTCCATTTGTTCTCAGCATCTCCATGTCTTCCACTCACCAGTGTTTCAAGACTGACAACTGAGACCTTACTAGTCCATTACTATTTCTCAATCCTATTTTAGGAGACTGTTTATTAATTCCTGATGCTGGTTTCCTCCAATGGAGTTAAACTGCAGGAGAAAGTTTTCCTCTGCCCTATTCATGGGACAATTTAAATGCTGAATCAGGCTGGGCACAGTGGCTCACACCTGTAACTCTAGCACTTTGGGAGGCTGAGGTGTGTGGATCAGGTCAGGAATTTGAGACCAGCCTGTCCAACATGGCAAAACTCTGTCTGTACTAAAAATACAAAAATTAGCTGGATGTGGTGGTACACACCTATAATCCCAGCTACTTGGGAAGCTGAGGCAGGAGAATCGCTTGAACCCAGAAGGCAGAGGTTTCAGTGAGCTTAGATCACGCCATTGCACTCCAACCTGGGCAACAGAGCGAGACTCCATCTCAAATAAATAAAGAAAATAAAAACAAATAAATAAATACTGAATCATATAACCAACATGCCACTTCTTACAGGCCTTTGAGTAGGCTTAGAGTCCAGTCAGGGAGATGAAACTCCATGACGATAAGCTGAGAGATATCTCAAGGCAGCCTGGGAGCAGAGGGCCAAATGTGGGGGGATCATAGCAATAATCATGTTTCCTCAGGAGTTTCTGCTTTATTGAATAATTTCACACCCATTATCTACAATTGACAGATGGGAAACTGAAGCTCAGGGAGAGGAAGTCACCTGCCAAGATCAGATAGCCAGTAAGTGACAAGACCAGGATTGAAATCCATACCCTCTCTGAAGCCTAAGTACTTCTAGGAAGATATGCAGGGGTTTCTGGGTGGTGGACAGGTGGGATGGGAGCTCAGGGGAAACTTGTGGAAGACGTGGTCTTTCTAGGGGGATAGGAATTCTTTAGGGGAAAAGAGTGGATGCAGGAAGCAGCAGGGGCTTATCTGGGCGTCTTCAACTTGCTGAGTCCCGTCTGTGAGCTGTAGACTCTGCAGCTTGGAGCTGCCCCTGAAAGAATCCTTCCACCCTTACTGCAGAGGTCCCAGGCTGGGGTAACAAGGGAGTCTCTCAGGCTCCCAGGCCTCCTCTGGAGCCCAGATTCTTCCCAGCTATAGCCTCAGGCTGATCCCTATAGCAATTTGAGCCAAAGATGCCCTCAGGATCCCTGTGCCCCTTTCATAGCCCTGGGGGCCAGTCTGTACCCCTTGCCCGTATCCTGAGACCCTGAGAAAAAACCTCAGCCATTTGTGTGGGTCTCCTCCCAGCAGGTCAGTGCTCCCCCCACCATGGACAGGCTCCTGCGATGATGGATCGCTGGCCCCAATGCACATATTATTATGAAATGGGTTTATTACACTCTAAATCTCTCACTAATGTGCCGCTGTTTAATCCCTTTATCCAATTCTTAGTCTCTCCGGCTCAGCCACAGCTCTCTCCACCCAGGAATAGGTCTGAATGGTTTATTGGATGATTTCTGACTTGGGGGGACTAGGGTGGGGGCTGTTTAGAGGTGGGGAGGAGAGCGAGCCAGGCAGTGTCTAAGAGAACTTCAAGCCCTTGTCTGGGGTCTCCAACGTGGGACTTCCTGGGGCCCCTTCTGTCTGTCTGTCTGTCTTTCTCTCTGACTCACACTTGCTGCTGCCTCACTCCATCTCTGCCTCCTGTCTCTCAGTGCCTTGTCACTTCCTCTCTGGCTCTCTGTCTCTTTTTGTCTCTCTGTCTTCCTTTGAAGCCAACTGTGGTCAGTCCTCCCAGATGGACAGGGCAATCATCCCCTACCTCTCCCATCCCACCTCCAGCCCCCCCTTTCTGGAGGTTCCTCTCCTTCTGCTGGGTTTCTGTCCTCCAAGTCTCTTCACCCCAGCCTCACTAGCCAGCTACTTTCCTCTTGGTCCACCTGCTCCTGATGTCCGCCTCTGGCTTTCCTCTTCCACCCTCAGCCCCTCCCATCTGCTCTGCTCTCAGGCCCACACCCATGCCTGCTAACCCCAGCAGCCTGTGCCTCCTCTCTCCCGCCCTCAGCCTCCTCTGCCTCCCCACCCTGGCTGACCCTCAGCTTCGGAGGTCTCCTCCCTTCCCTCTTCCCTTGGGTTTTCCCCCTCCACACTGCCCTTCTCTCCCTTCCTCGGTCTCTATCTCTGTCTCCCCCAGTGTCTCTCCCCAAGCAGTCCCTCCCCACTCTGACACACCAGCCGGTAAGGCAGCCAAGGCTTCCTGCTGTCAGCTGGGGAATAGATAAAGATAAATGATATTATGTTAAATTCCACTTAATGACAAATTTTTAATTTTCTGAACATGGTCATTTTCTGGCTAGTGAATCAAGTGGAGGGAGCTAATTACATGAAGATCTGAACAAAAATAACTCCTAATTTTCAAGGATAATGGAAGAGAAATGTTGGAGATTAATGGCACTATTTATCTTTTTTAAATTTCTATCTTTCTCTGTGATAGCCGTGCTCCCCAAGGAAAATATTCATAAAATGAAATTGAAGTCGTAACTTAATAGGTTATTAAAATTTTTGAGTGCATATCACTTTCCTTCCGCAGCACTGTAAATTTAAATTGAAGTTTGCGGCTCCCCGAGTCACCAGCGGAGTTTTTTTTATGATGGCACAATAGAGAGAAACATGCATCTTTGTCAGGAGGTATTTGCTAGTCTAATTTTATGGCAGGCCGGATTATCAGACGGGAATGGCAGCGCCGGGGGAAGCTGACAAGCCCGCAGCCGGCAGCCATGTGTTTCCATTAGCGCCCCGAGCCGTCCGGGGCTTCTCTGGACTCTCATTTTCCACTTCAGTCTTTTATCTTGATTTAAAGTGAGGGCGCCCAATATTCAGGGCCTGTCATTTTTCTCTCACACACTCTCACGCGCTCTTCCTCACTTCTCCCCTCCCACTTCCTCTGCTTGGGGCCCCTCTCCCTTTCATCTCTGGGGTCTCCATCGTGGGCGCTGTCCTCCTTCCCTGTCCCCACCCAGCCCCGTGGGCTCCTCCCTGGGAGGAGGAAGGGAGAAGAGGCAGGGGCCAGCAGGGCAGCCGCCGGAGTTAGTTATAAATTTGAGTGAAGCCTCCTCCCCGTAGGCTCATCAGCTGAACACTCAATGGGACTGCTTGTGTGCAAGGGAGGGAGGGGGCTCTCCAGGCTCAAGCCCATCAGGCCCCCTAATTGAGTGTTAATGGAGTTTCGAGGAGGAGGGGGCGCAGCTGTTGGCCCAGGGGACCAGAGGGCAGCCGGAATGATCGCCAGTCTCTCTTCTTGTCCCTGTCTCTGTTTCCATCCACGTCTCTGAGCCTGGCTTTGTTTCTGGGTCTCAGAATCATAGACCTAAAAGGAAACTTAAAAAGAGCCCAGACCAACTCCCACGTTTTATAGATAAACAGACTGAGGTCCAGAGATGGAGAGTCTTGTCTGTGGTCCCATAGCTAATCAGTGGCTGAGAAAGCACAAGAAGTTGGATATCAGAGATGCTTGGATGGCTGAACTTCCTGTTGGACCACACTGCCTCCCACAGCCTCTTTCTGTTCTCAGGTGGAAGCCAACACCTTTGTGCCTGTCTTAGCTCCCATCCAGCTTTGCCGACACTGTGGTCACCAACATTCTTGAAGGCACTGGTCTTGACACCCAAGGTCATCTTTTACTCATGTCCTATTCTCATCCCCATACCCAGTCACTTACCAGGTCCCTCCATCTCTTCTATCTGTCCCATCCTCCCCTTCACTCAGGTTCACCCAGCCTGTTACATTAGTCCCCTGCCTGCTCACTTGTTTCCATGCTCTCCCCCAACTCCTGTCCCATGATAACCTCCCCTGAATGCCCCAAATCCCCAAACACTCTTCTGCCTGTGCTCGGAACTCCACTCTGCACCCTCCATCCCATGCCTACAGGGTTGAGTTCTGTGTTCTCACTCAAGTCTCAAAGCCTGCATGACTAGGACCCATTGTCTCCCCTCTGTCCTTCTTGCCCTTGCCCACCACATATCCATGTAGGCTCAATTCCAGCCAGCATGGCATTTCTGCACCTTTCATCTTGGTGTTCCCACTAGGAATGTCCTCTCCCATAGCTCTAGCCACCATTCATGACCCACTTCACACTACACCCTTGCTGGGCTCCCCTAGTTCACAGTGATCTTCCCTCTTCTCTGGCCTTCTTTAGCCCTCACCACCCAGGCATCCATCATCTGTGAACCCACAGCCTGGGACCATCACTGCACTTTCTGTGACTTGTATCATGCTGGACCAGGGACCCAATGTTTAGTTGACATACCTTATTCCAGTGATTGCAAGTGCTCACCTGGATCACATATCCTAACCCATATGTCCCTTATGCAGCAGCAGGGACCCCTCGATAAGACATTAGATAGGAAGCCTGTCTAACTCACTCACTCTGCCTCTCACTCATGTTGATGCTAGAAGAGATCTGAGACTTCAGCTCACTCATTTTATAGATGGAGAAACTGAGGCCCAGCCAGAG